TGGGATGCCCATCCCACTAAGAACTTGCCACAATTTATTATGATCCACACAGTCAAAGGCTTTAGAATAGAACCATTAACATTAGAAGAGACAAAGATTGTGCTCCCAGTAAGGATTAAAAACTGCTGGGGCTGCCTTGTTGCCTTCAAAGATCCAGGCCATCCTAGATTTTGTTTCTGTTCACTTTCTGAAGTTGTTTTGTAGATCCATGCACTTTTTGTTCAGCTCCTTACGTTGGTTTATATTAAACCAGTATAAAGCTGGGGGGAGGGGGGAAAGGAACACAATCTGGAACTTTTAGATCAGTCTGGATGTGCCCAAATGCCTTCTTGGCTGTGCTAGGAAATTAAATTCCTGGAATATCTGGGGCTGTAAATCTGTTTTGTGTTGTTTTGGGGGCATGTTGCACCCCACTCTTTCTTTTTTTATGTCAGGTTTTCCACATCAAAGTGGTATAGTTCTGTGTAGACAAGTGCATAGTGATGTCTTCAGGTTCTGGAATCGGAATCTAATTTCAAACCATCACCTCGGTAGAAACGGACTGGCCAGTGTTCCAGTGTGGTGGGCATAGGCTGGTAGCCAGGTTGAAGTGTAAGGTTTGCATCTCGACAAGGTGTGAAGAAGGAGCTGAGATGCACTAGAAGCCACTGTGAGTAGAGGGTATGTAGTATGAAAGCCCAGTTTGGCCAGTTTATGGGCAAGTCTCTTCCATTAATTCAAATCCTGACAATCACGGGGCAAGATTACTAACTGTTTTTTTTTTTTTGGTCGTGTCAGGAGCGACTTGAGAAATTGCAAGTCGCTTCTGGTGTGAGAGAATTGGCCGTCTGCAAGGATGTTGCCCAGGGGACGCCTGGATGAATTGACATTTTTATCATCCTTGTGGGAGGCTTCTCTCATGTCCTTGCATGAGGAGCTGGAGCTGATAGAGGGAGCTCATCCGCCTCTCCCTGGATTCAAACTGCGCCACCGGGGGCTCCTACTAATTGGTGTAATGAGGATTATTGGTGTGCCTTCAAATGTCGACTCAAGAATATGAGCAGGGTGATGTGGGCAATAAGAATAGGTCTACCAGGGTTGCCATGAAGCTAACATTGTAATAGTCATCTTTATCCTCTAAAGTATAAACAAAGCATAAAATGTGACCGGAAATTATAGGAGATTCCTATTTTATTTCATTTCTCCATGCCTCCAAAAGCAGCCTTAGCTATTCATAAGACTATGCATTTTAACTCTACATTTTATTAGTATTAGTGTTTTAATCTTGTTATGTGTGTTTTATTATATGTATTTTGCTAGTATTATGTTTTACGTTTAACTATATTGCACCCCACCTCAAGCTGTATCTAACAGCAGGGTAGCAGAATTCGATGTTTTTTTTTTCTTATTCTCATAATAGTGCTATGATTTCAATGTGCTTTCAGTGTACAAGAGAACATACGAAAAGTATTACCGGTATTTGGTTGTTAGAAGCCAGTGTTAAGTCATGGAATGGGGAAGCAGGGGAATAAGTGGAAAATTAATTGTGTGCTAAACAGCAGAATAAATATTAAGGCAATTTTATTTATCGTATCAGAAGGAAACCAAGGGTACAATTGTAATGTATTTAAAAACAAAAAATTTAAAAACTTAGCATTATATTAAATGTCCTTTGACCAGTAGCTGGCCACTTGGAGTGCCTCTGGTGTTGCTATAAGAAGGTCCTCCATTGTGCATGTGGCAGAGCTAAGACTGCATTGTAATAGGTGGTCTGTGGTTTGCTCTTCTCCTCTCACATGTTGTGGACTCTACTTTGTGGCCCCTTTTCTTAAGGTTGGCTTAGCATTTCGTGGTGCCAGAACGCAGTCTTTTCAGCACCTTCCAAGTTGCCCAGTCTTCTGTGTGCCCAGAGGGGGAGTATCTCATTCTGTACCAGCCATGGCTTGAGGTTCCGGGTTTTAGCCTGCCACTTTTGGACTCTCACTTGCTGAGGTGTTCCTGCAAGTAACTCTGTAGATCTTATAAAGCTATTTCTTGATTTAAGGCAATGGTGTGCTGGTTAATATTTGAACAGAGGATGGGCTGGAGATGTCACTTCCTTGGTCCTTTCATTATTGGCTGCTACTTCCCGGCGGATGTCAGGTGGTGCAATACTGGCTAAACAGTATAATTTCTCCAGTGATGTAGGATGTAGACATCCTGTGATAATGCATCATGTCTCATTAAGAGCCACATCCACTGTTTTAGCGTGGTGATATGTGGAACCACAAGGCATGCAATAGAGTAACAAAGCACAAGGGAAGATGTCTTCACTGTATGTGGTTGTGATCCCCAGGTCACAACCACTTGCAGCATTAAGGCAATTATCCAAAAGGAACTAGTTATGTCAAGCAGGGATGATAGGATGTAGGGATGTGTTTTGGGGATATCTGACCAGGAGGAAGGCATGGAAATCTGCCAGCAGAGGTGGTGTTTTCCAGTCTTCCCTTTTCTCTGATGAGATTTCCTTCTGTCTTATGCGCAGGTCTGGCTCAAGTGACCACAGAATGAAGGACTGGGCAAAAATACGAATATTGCTGTTGGTGTGGGGATTATGGTACCTGGCAGCGGTGCAAGAGGGAGCTACTGCACCTGCTGCCTTCTTGTTCCCCAGCGTGGAGAGACTGTTCCAGGACACTAAAAAGTTCGTGGACGAGAAAAATGAGAACAATGAGGAGAGAACGCACCAGAATTTTATGAAGATAATTGAGGACAGCCTGGTAATTTTGTTACATTTTTATCCTGCACACCTGTCAAATATTGGTGTTTGGTTCATCTGGGAAATTGCAATTGGGATAAAAAGAAAATAAACATAGCAAATTGAGATGTGGAGCAAGACAACGGGCAGAGTTAAAGCAAGTTTGCAAGCAAGTCATACCAAAATATTGAAAGTTTTTTTGTGTTGCTTGTTTAAACCATGGTAAGTTGGTATTGGAACCTGGAGCTGTGTCATCCAGCTAATCACCTTGAAACAGGAGCTGGCAAACGGAGCTGAAGAGAAATGAGTAATTTAAAATCATATTAATTTGCCCTAGGAACTATTCATGACTGATATGAACTGCCTTCCTATGATTTGCAAACTTGACCTTTATGTGAGAAATGGTTGCCTTTTGTCTGTACTGTAACTGATGGCCAGTATTTTAACTAAGGGCCCTTCCAAACAGCCAAATAATCCAGAATAACCCAGATAATCCACAATATCTGCTTTGAATTGGGTTATCTGAGTCCATATTGCCATATAATCGAGTTCAATGTGGATTTTATACAGCTGTGTGGAAGGGGCCTGAGTGACCTGAGGGCCCTTCCACACAGCCCTATATCCCAGAATATCAAGGCAGAAAATCTGACAATATCTGGTTTGAACTGGGTTATCTGAGTCCACACTGAGATAATGTGGTATTTTCTGCCTTGATATCCTGGGATATCAGACTGTGTGGAAGGGCCCTGAGTTACATGAGTATGCAATAGGAACAGGAAAGCATATCGACTTTCTATTCATCATTGGAATAGATCAATCTTTGTTTTTTATAGGAAGTTTTGGGGAAAGAAAAAATGGATCTTCCTTCGGGTTTCAACAAGCTGAATTTAGACTACCACAGTGAGAAGAAACGTCAGAAGGCAAAGAATGCCACTCTGTATAGCCAGCAGGAAGTCATGAAAGTGAGTTACAATGATGATGAAGATATTCCGAATCAAGATAAGATACTGTGTGCTTGTCTTAATGTTAAGATCTCTTCCCCCTTTCTTTTGCATTTTGACATTGTTGCTGCAGAAAATGACAACTCAATGCCTAGCTTTACCCAATATCTTGAGAAAGTTTCAATCTATAGTGTCCATGCTGGTTGAGGGATTCTGGACGCTGTCATTCAACAAATTAATCTTCCAAGTTGTGTTACTGCACTACTGCAAGAGTGATCCCACCTATAAAGTCACAGTCTTGTTGTTGCTGTTGTTGATATTGAATACTCCCATGGGAAGCTGAATCTACCATGCCCATCCTATCCCATAGCTACAAGGGAATTCTTGTCAGCAACAACATTTCTGCCCTTCACCCCAAAATGTTGAACCAAGTCTAAAAGTAAACTGCTCTTTTACTTGTTCCACTTTCCAACTTAATTCCCCATGATGTTCTCTCAATATTTGCAGGTGACAGATAATCATACTGTTAATATATTGTACTCAGAAGAAATTATGACCTCCATTAAACAGGTAGACGCTCAAGTTGAAGAGGAAAAGGTCAGTATGAATGCAGGAAGGTGATGTCACTAGTCATTTTTCACATCGAGTTAGGCTGTGTCATTGCATGAATAGCGTGGATGATGTGGGATGCTCTATTAGGCTCTGGAGGTTCTTCTGTGATCTGTGCTAAGTTGGCATGCCAACTTTCTGTGTTGATTGCTTTGTATCATCTCAAATGGTAAGGTTAAAAGAAATCTATTTCCTACATGGTGCTTTTCACATGTATTGGGGTATAATGTATTGTCGAAGGCTTTCATGGCCGGAATCACTGGGTTGTTGTAGGTTTTTTCGGGCTGTATGGCCATGGTCTAGAGGCATTCTCTCCTGACGTTTCGCCTGCATCTTTGGCAAGCATCCTCAGAGGCTATTGGGGTATAGCTCCCATTTTCTCCTAATCAGTAAAGGCAATGGCCATGACTTTTTGATCAAAACTCCAGAATCAATCCCTTAATTAGAACTCTCTTGTAAGCTAATAAACAATAACTGAAAGTAACTATACTCTATAGCTGTCCGTTTCTTACACAGCATTGGATCCAGAGATATTTGTTGTAATTTTCTAATAGTTCCCAACTTGTAGCAGATCCTAAGGTAAATCTATCATGGGAATTTTTAGTGTTGGGAGAATGTGAGTTGCCCACGAGCACACTGACTTTTGGATTGCATTGTTGTAAAAAAAGGCTCATTCTGGGCCTAATATAGCTACTACCACTATCCCAGCAAAATTGTCCCTGTGCCACTCTGAAGGCATTGGGAGACATTTGAAATGTTTGTTGTTGATAAGGCAGCCTCTCAAACCCCAGACAGTTATCCATTCCTATTCCATTATTTTGGTCATTTTTTTTAAAAAAAACACCATAGCTTGTAAGTCCTTTCTCCCCCTGATACACGAGGTTTTTCTTTTTTCAGAATGAGAAATCTGTTTTCCCCAATTCATAAAATCATAGAGTTGGAAAAAAACCTTGGGGGCCATCCAGTCCAACCTCCTGCCAAGAAGCAGGAAAATCACATTCAAAGCACCCCCAACAGATGGCCATCCAGGCTTTGTTTAAAAGCCGCCAAAGAAGGAGCCTCCACTACACTCCAGGGCAGAGAGTTCCACTGCTGAACAGCTCTCATAGTTAGGAAGTTCTTCCTCATGTTCAGGTGGAATGTGATATACGTGAAATAATATGTATATATATCTTTCTTTTGAAAAATTACTGAGATAATATCCTCTTCCCTCCAATTTTATTTTCTCTCTTTTTCTAGGAGAAAATGCCAGAGATTAGTCAGCAAGAAAGAAGTCTTGAAGAAGATAGACAGGACAATGGGAACAGGTTCCTGAATTTTGGTCTCTCCCAGCCGAGGCCTCGTCTATTTCTGATCTACCACTTCCCTCAGCATCTTAAGAGTGAGCAGCAGGTCCCTGAAGCTAACTGGTTAAAGGAAGAGCCAGTCAGTGATAGGAGGCACAGGCTGCTGGCCATTCGGAATGGGCTTTTAGCTGCCCCCCGGCCCATCAAGAAGAAGGCCCTGCTTGTCACCCCGACTCAAACAACCACTCCAAGAAAGCGTCGCTTCTTTTTCTTCTGGAGGAAAATATAATAAGGCACAAGGAAAGGCACCTGTGTGCGTTGTGGTGTCTGCCTCTGTTTCCTCTTTTCATATACAAAGAGTGGGGATAGGTCAGAGTGGGATGGGGGGATTCTGTTCCTCTTGAAATAAAAACTCATCCTCTTTCAGCATAAAACCTTGAAGATGAACAGTTGGTGTGTTTTATTTCCATTAAATTATAGAGATGGAACATATTTGTTTTGAATACTCTGCATATTGACAGTATCTCAATCCCAGGTAGAATCTGAAGAATCAATAAGTGAAGTAATATTTACAAATACTGAATACTATTGTGACTGCATAGGCATACTGCAAATAACAAAAAGAAGCTCCTTTTTACAAGGACTTAAATATATCTTTTTCCTTGTTTTCTCTCTATTAGGATTTTTTAAAAAGTTGTATTGACATTGGGAGGCGTTGGGATGGTGAATGAGGACTGGAGAAACACAGGGTTTACTAGGCAAATGCTGTAACATGTCCGCAGGAAACAATGCAATAAAGGCAAAGCTGAAGGATGGGATTCCACACTAACTTTCCTACTGTAGTTGTGTGTTCCTGTCTACATCAGATAAAGTACCAGCAACTGCTTTGAGCAGCTGCAGGAACAGCAACATGGAGAGAAAAGGGGAAAGCAGATAAACTTACCTCACTAGAAAGTATTTCACACTAGAGCAGGGGTCCTCAAACTTTTTAAACAGAGGGCCAGGTCACAGTCCCTCAAACTGTTGGAGGGCAAGATTATAATTTTTTAAAAAAACCATGAATGAATTCCTATGCACATTACACATATCTTATTTGTAGTGCAAAAACACTTAAAACAATACAATAATTAAAATGCACAATTTTAAGAAATACAAACTTTTTAGTATTTCAATGGGAAGTGTGGACCTGCTTTTGGCTGATGAGATAAGGTTGTTGTTGTTGTTGTTGTTGTTGTGTGCTTTCAAGTCGTTTCAGACTTAAGTTGACCTTGAGCAAGGGCTGGGTAAATGACCTGGGAGGGCCATATCAGGCCCTCGGGCCTTAGTTTGAGGACCCCTGCTATACACTGTCTTCCATAATTCTTGTGTGATCTTAACATATATGCATATTAATCAAAGGTGACTGGATGCACTGAAGCTGGGTAACAACATCTGCGTTCATTCGGCCCAGCGCTTATCTTCTGAGAAATTAATATGATGTGTTTACATGAGGATTTTGTGTGTGTGTGTGTCAGGAGCGACTTTGAGAAACTGCAAGTCACTTCTGGTGTGAGAGAATTGGCTGTCTGCAAGGATGTTGCCCAAGGGACACCTGGATGTTTTGATGTTTTATTTATTTATTTATTTATTTATTTACTAGCCGTCCCCTGCCACACATTGCTGTGGCCCAGTCTGGTGATCTGGAAAATAAAGTAATATGAGAAAGTGTTGGTTTCTAATATATGTAATTTATTTATGATTGTGGGTAAACAGTATTTGATTTTCTTGCTCTGGTAAAGGGGGTGGGACTGGATGGCCTTAAGTATTTTCTATTGGTCATAGGGATTCTGTGTGGGAAGTTTGCCCCAATTCTATCGTTTGTGGGCTTCAGAATGCTCTTTGATTGTAGGTGAACTATAAATCCCAGTAAGTACAACTCCCAAATGTCATGGTCTATTTTTCCCAAGCTCCATCTGTGTTAATAGTTGGGCATATGGAATATTCGTGCCAAGTTTGGTCCAGATCCATCATTGTTTGAATCCACAGTGCTCTCTGTATGTAGGTGTAGTACAACTCCCAAACTCAATGTCAATGCCCACCAAACCCTTTCAGTATTTTCTGTTGGTCGTGGGAGTCCTGTGTGCCAAGTTTGGTTCAGTTACATCACTGGTGGAGTTCAGAATGCTCTTTGATTGTAGGTTAACTATAAATCCCAGTAACTACAACTCCCAAATTGTAATAGAGCTAAAATTTAGGGGTCTTTGCCAGGAGGCAGAGACCAATTAGACTCCTCAAAGAGTTCTTTTTTCCCTGGCGAGACAGAGAAGCATCCCATATTTTTCCCTGATTTCCCAATGAAAAGTCTCACCAGTTGAAGAAAGGCCATCGAAGTTTAATGCGATTCAGCTGAAACCGAATGCAAAGCTGCAATCATTCGCTAAGCTAAGCATGAGGGGAATACACCAATACAGTCATATTTATAGCAAATTCAAAGTTGTAGAGTTCAAACTCCCCGCCCCGGTTTCCCTGTTGTTCCCTGCCATGATTGGGCGATGGGCTCCAGTTGTCCGTAGGAACCAATGGGGAGACCTCTGCCACCTGGTGGCGACAGCCAATCAGGAGAGATGGAGGCGGGATGAGGGAGCAGAAAGGAATCTGGGAAAGGAATCTTTAAACAAAGGAATGCCATGTGCTCTTGTGAGACAAAGGGTCAACATGTGTCCTGATCCTTCCTGGCTGTGAGACAGGAGAACAATGATGGCAGCCTGAGGTTAATGCTAAGTAAACAAAAGAAGAGGGGAAGATTTCCCCTTATCTTACAGAAACTTTTGTCAAACAATGCTTTACTCTAGTGGGCCATCTTCCGAGGCTAGAGATAAGAATCTCCTTTTATCCATGCAAATGTGTCTTTGGCAGGAGGTTTCAGTCTTTTGTTTCTGAAGGCCAGGGGGTTCCCTTACATATTTCTTTGGAGGGAGAAGTGGCAAATGGTCAGGAATACAAGGAAGCATAAAAACCATACAGAAATTATACACAGGGAAATCATATGCAGCTATCTTCCCATCCGGGACCCCAGAGAGAGATTAATAATACCAATTATAAAAAGCAGACGATATCAGGACACAGCATGAATTCATAAGTTGTCTTGAAGAAAGTTCATGGGTAGAGAGCGAGTCCTTGAAGAGAGTGAAGTCCAGGAATGTAGCAGAATTCAAAAAGCCACCAACGGGAGTCTATGGAGTTCCACTGGGCCAAGACGCAAAGCCCTGCAGCGCTGGGATGGAAACCGGTCCCATGGTCCTTGGAAAACTACAGCTATCTCTCTCTCTCTCTCAAGAGGCAGAGACCCCAAGGTCTACCCATTCCCAAAGTTTCATGGGGTCCTCATTGTTAAGGCCTTGACAAATTGACTAAGACTTAACCCCTATTGTGCAGTCTGGTACCTTTGTCCTTTGCAGAACTATAAGTCACCATCCCTTGTTAGGGGGGGAGGGTCATGCTCGGCTTCAAAATGACAAACTTAATTTTTTTGAGTGATGGTCACAGCTTGGGTTAGTAGGTGTCTTGTGGCCAAATTTGGCGGCAATTCCCCCAGTGGTTTTTGAGTTATGTTAATCCCACAAACGAACATTAACTTTTATTCATATAGATTTAAAACATTTATATTCTGCCCTTCTCACCCTGAAGGGGACTCAGGGCGGAGCACAGCATATATATGGCAAACATTCAATGCCAAGACACAAATTCACATACAATACATAAACATTAAAAAACATTTATCAAATAATTAAAATACACCATTTAAAACCATCCTTGTAGGAAGCCTTGTGGGAAGATTCTCTCATGTCCCCCACTTGGGAAGCTGGAGCTGACAGAGGGAGCTCAT